AGAGCGGAAGATAATCTCCTGGTCCGGCCAACAGAAAAGTAGTGTCAGTCCTTTTTCACATGGGAGGAGAACCCCTTATTTATATGTGATCCACCTCAAAATAACATGTTTTTAGTGCATATTTAATAAGCATTTTATGTACATTTTTTATGATATTACGCTTTAAAGAAATGTATTTTGCATGTTTTTGGTTTCAGGTACATGAAATGAACATTTAGAAAAAATGAGGAAAAAATTAATTTATATTTATGCTTGATTATTGTATCAAATCAATTTTTTTTGGCATTTATATACATATCACCCAATTTATATTTATTTTCATATCTACCCCCTAAAATTCACCCAAAACTTTTATGACACCTAAAAGCTAAATTTTTAAAATCCTCATTTTCCTAGCTTACCTAAAGTTTCCAAGTCTGTCCAAAAATTCACTTGTGATGGTGACTGCGGCTTGCATCCTTTCATCATTTCACCAACAGCACTATAAAACAATAAATGATAACAATATATATATATATATATATATGAATCCTCAAGTCATGCAGTAAATTACTTGTACTGTTATTCCGGCATTACGTAATAAACTCTTAAAAAACTCATTAAATTATTCTAGTTAAATTTAATCAAATTGCATCTATTACAATATAATAATAATAATGCTGGCAACAGCATTTCCCCAAAGCATAGGAAGCAAAGTATCCCATGCAAAATAAAAATAAATAAATAAAGCTTGGTCCGTCAAAAACCCTTTATTAGCAGTGCATCATTTGTTCTAATCATAACATGTTTTATACATTTTTCCCTTACAATTATTCCCTTTTTAGGATATAAATATGACTCTTTTACACACTGAGGCATCATCAGCCACCATCTAGTTTCCTAAAAGTGATATTATAAATTTTCAATGGGTGCCGCCATCCTTAACCTCTTCATCTTCCTATTCCTCATCTTCTCATCCCATTCCTTTCCCTCGGTCCACTCCCAACAATTCTCCAACACCAACGAAGGTGGCGGCATCGACCCCACGAAAACCGCTGTCTACATCATCCAGGTGGAGAAGCCTCATGGCATCTACAACTGTCCACTTCATTTACACGATCTCAAAAATTGGTACTTGTCTTTTCTTCCAAATGCCACTCTCACTTCTGACGAACCTCGCATGGTATGCACCTATCGTGAAGTCATCACCGGCTTTGCCGCCGGCCTAACCCCCGAAGAAGTTGAAGCCATTGAATCCCTTGATGGCTTCATCCAGGCTAACCCAGAATGAGAACACTATGCTTCCACAACCTACACCCCCACCTTCCTCTCCCTTAAAAGCAAAACATCCAACACCCTATGGTATGACTCTTCCTTGGGTGCCGGCCAAATCTTTGGCGTCATCGATACTGGCATCAACCCTAATCATTCCTCCTTCAATGACAATGGGATGCCCCCCGCTCCCCTGAAGCGGAGTGGCAAATGCTATTGGGGGAATGCACGTACTTGCAACAACAAGCTCCTCAGAGCCGTTGCATTTCGTTACGGAGTTTACTCTAACCCATACGACAATGATGGCCATGGCACCCACGTTGCTAGCATAGCGACTGGGAATTTCGTCAATCATGCCGTTGTGATCGGGCAGGCTGCCGAGACAACTTCCGGCATGGCCTCACTTGCTCATCTCACTATTTATAAAGTCATGTTTCTCGGTCGATCGAGCCACTCTGTGACTACTGATGCAGATGCCTATGTTGGTATAAAGCAAGCCATTGGTGACCATGTTGATGTTCTTCAAATGTCGCTTGGGGCGACCAAGCTTGAGTTGTTTAATAGTGCAGTTGCTATTGTTTTGTTTTCAACTATAGAAAAAAGGATTGTTCCGTGTGCTTCCATGGGCAACAATGGGCCAACACCAAGCATATTAGCTAATGACGTGCCATGGATACTAACTATTGGTGCTAGTAGTGTCGGTTTACCAGCCTAGGACCTTTCCTTCAACTCAAATACCACTCGCATACCCATCCGACCAGCTTGGAATACTTGATTCCAAAGGTTGTAACTTGGTTGAGCTCAAGAAGTTAAATCTACGGTACACAATTGTTATATGCTTTCACTTTGACATAGAGGATGATGAGCGTGGCCGTAATGTGTTGGCTTTCGGTGCCAAAGCCATGATTTTGTTAAATCATGCGATTGCAGGAGAGACTACTAACGCTTACGGACATGTGCTCCCTGCCTCACACCTTAAAAACATCGGCACCAAGGCCATAACCAAGTACTATTGCAACACAACAAATCCGACAGCAGCCATAAACCCTTGTATGACCCTATTTGGAATTAACTCTGCCCCAGCCATCACAGTCTTCTCATTACGTGGACCAAGCTTGACCAATGGAGGGATCATAAAGCCTGATGTCATTGCACCAGGAGTCACTATTCTAGGGTGTTGACCTCAATTTTGGTTGAGTTTTAGTTTTACCTCTTTAGTTGCTTAAGTTCTAGCCATAGGGTTTTCTTGTTGACTATTCCAAGAAAACTAGAAAAGGAACCCTCACCATTAGAAATTCTAAACTCTTATATGCTCAACTTGAAGTGTCATATATTGGTCATAACCTCTAGCACTTAGTAGGTGGGGCCACTATAGGGGAGCTCAAGAAGAGCCCATAGGACTGCTTTACCTTAGGGTTGACCCTGGATGTTGTTCTGGAGCTAGTTCACTCACTTGCACCCACTTGCACTCACTGTCGCTCACTTTCACCCCCATTCACTTACAACCCTGAATCCAACTTGTTAACTTTGATCCATTGATTTTTTGGGACACTCATGTAGATGGTCCCCTAGACCCACTAGCCCTATGCTAGGGTTTAGATAAGACCAGTACGTAGATGACCCAAATGGAGATTCAATTGGTCTATAGCTCAAATGGGGTGGTTGGCACCTCAATTTCTCCAAAATACCCAACTCAGTCTTTTGTCCCTGAAACCAATTTGGATTCTTCAATTAAACTCAATTTGATCCCAATTTCCCCCAATTTCAATTTTAAACTCAAATTCATCATGATCAAACCCAATTCAAACTAATTCCAAGCCCAATTGACCCACATTTGAATCCAATTTTAACCCAAATCCAAAATCCCCAATTTTACCCCAATTTAGTCATGTCTCTAAATGTCACTTAATTGAATATCCAAACCCCAAAATTGACACCCAATTAATGTTGAGAACACTTCATGACATTCCCCTAGACCATTTTCAACAATCAATTTGGACTTAACCGAACTCTAGCCCAACCTAAACCCAAGTCTAACCCAACATACCCAAATTGATCAAATGCCCAAAATCCCTCAAATTGACCAACAACAACAACAAAGCCTTAATCCCACTACGTGGGGTCGGCTACATGAATCCTTTTTCTCCATTGTGTCCTATTTAGTGTCATATGACCATTCAAATAAATTCAAAATCATTCCAAATCTTTTATAAACCTCTCATAACAACCATCCACATAATCTCGATCAATAAATTGAGTTCGAACTAAAATTGTGATGAAAATTGAATTTGACGTGTTTTTTGACACGATCATTGACGAGGTTGTCCGAACGGCCTCAGATGACAAAACGGGTTGCACCGTCATGTTCAGGACGTCAAAATTTCCTAGAGAAGAAACCCATTTTGATATGGTTTCTTGCTCGCACGAATTGGAGAGTTTTAAATATTAAATATTATAAAATAAAAAAAATTCTTTTTTTTTCGACATAAATCCCTAATCTCTAAGGCCCCATTTAGGGCAGATTATTTGCTGTTGTGGTGTTTTCAAAACAATACCCCGCGTTTGGTAAAAAGGAGTTTTGACATTAATATTACAAGCGGATCGCGGGGTCCTACCCGCGATCTGCGTTTCATCCTTGAGAAAGACGCTCGGGCCCTTGCCTTTTGCTCGAGGAGTCTCGCCAAAAGCAGATATCCCATCACTCCTCTCTCCTCGTCGTTCCTCTCACCTTGTCCTCCATGAAGGTATCCATCGTATGTCCTCTGAATCTCCTTCCTTTTCTTTTTTGATGTCTATGATGTCTATGGAGAATGAGAATGGTAGACGAACACCACACATTTCCTTCATCTTTAGCGGTTATTTCCTTCTCCTTATATTTATTTTAAGCGATTCTGGGAATCTTTGCCAATGGATCTGGTTTCCTTGTTCTTCGTATGTAGTAGCCCGATGGATTAGAAAAAATTTTCAGAACAGGGGCAGTTTGGTCATTTTTTCAGAATCAGCTGTTCTCAATAAGCACAAACCAAACAAACAGACAGATTATCCGGATCAGCTGCATATCACTAGATTATCAGGATAAGCAGCTTATCATAGGTAGGCTTTCTCCTCCATTCTTGGCCATAAAAGCCTCTCTTGGGGAGGGATTTGGGGTTGGCCGAAAATTTTCAGAAAAGGGGGAAGGTGCTGCTGAAATTTTGTGGAGTTTACTTCTTGTTGAATTTCTGTTTCGAGGCTTTCTTTTCCCTTCCCTTTGCTAGCAGGCGTTTGGATGTAAATGAGTTCTGTATGAGTTTTACCATAAAATACATATATGCATATATATAAAAAAGATTGACTGAAGGAAGCTTCATCCTTTTTCTCGAGCTTAAGTAGTTTGACATATCATTTATGTGATTCTACGAGCTTTCCTTTTCTTTCTTTCTTGAATTAACAATGGGTTTCAAGGGTTGTTTTCACTAATTACCATGACCTCAAGTTTCGATTTTTCTTGCTTACTTGCACTTGATTTCAAGGTTTCAAACCAAATGGAAAAAGTAGTAGATGAAGATCTGAGATTTTGGCCACTTTATTAGGTTATCGAAGCATTAGTACTTTTTGATGAGTCACATGAATAAGGTTAAGTATTTTCTTGAGCAGTAATATTTATACATATCTTTATAGCCTATGTTTTGAAGTCCGCTAAAAGTTGAAAGCACCATGAATATGCTAGATTTGCAATATATAGTGGGGAAGGCTTGATAAGGTTGTTTTGTACATTTCTATTGGGTTTTCTGGCTTCCTTTGGTGTTGTTGGTTCATGTGAAGTGTTTAACACCGTTTGTTTATCATAAGGCGTTTTTCTCGATGGCTTTTTTATATCTATATTTTGTATGAATAGTTATAATGAATGTGGTGTTACATTTGTGAATACATGAGAGTTGGGTGCTGTGTTTGTAAATGAAACTTTTATTTTTGGTGAAATTGTATTGACAAAAAAAAATCTGAAGATTTGTAAAAATCTAAAGAGTTTGGCTTGCTTATTTGTAGAAATCGGAAAGCTTTGTTGCCTTTTTTTGTAAAAATCTGATGGTTTGAGAAGTCTTGATATGTAGTATAAGATTCCTGCGTATTTTCATATCTCACATGCAAGCTTCCATATTTACATACACATCACTTTGGTGCTTTTGAACTCATGCATGAATATGCCTATTTTACTAAGAAAAAGGGAAGAACTTATATATACGCCACCTAGCTCTTATGTATTTGCATATCTAACACAAACATTTTGAAAGATGAGGCATTGGTTATTCTTTTATCAATAAACGATTTATTTGGCAATGAAAAAGAGGAACCAATACACATTGCAATTGTGGAAGAATTGTAAGCATCAATATACATATGAAGACTCATATAGTTGCTCGAGGAGACAAAAGAGTAGAAAAGAAATGGGAAATATGAAATTGTGCATAATTCGGCTTGCTAAAATTGAAAACTTCGGTATGTTTCGCTGTGAAAATTATGGGATGTTCATTGTTTTTGTATGGGATGTTTCATTGGTTTTGTTTTGAAGAATTTAAAATTATGTAGGTCGGTTTATGCGATTGGAGATTCATTTGGTTCGGTTTTATGGAAAATCAGAAAGTTGACAGCTTTATGTGCGAAAATTTTAAAATTTTGACGAATTGGCTTTATGTAAAATTTGAACTTGCGCAGGTTGATTTATTTGAGTCGGGGTTTATTTGGCTTTCTTTGGGCCGGTTCGAGCATCATTTTGAAAAAAGTATTTTTGGTGTCATTTTAATGTCATTTTAGATTTTTTGCAGTTTCGTTTAGCTGCGGTTTTGGCCTTGTAGTGGCTCGGTTTTGGCCTTGTGGTGGCTGCGGTTTTGGCCTTGTAGTGGCTCGGTTTTGGCCTTGTGGTGGCTCGGGATTCTTGTATGATGGCTTGGTTGTTTGGCCACTTGTGGGGTTTGCTTTGCTCCCTTGCTGCCCCTAGTCGAGAGCCTCCTTACCCATTTTAGTTGGTTATTTTGTGCACCTGTATGGTGGTTCCTTGCTGCCCTGGCCGTGAACACCTACATGGGATTTTTAGATGATAACGGGTTCATATGACATTGGAAACTTTTAGTTTGAAGTGGAATTGGATGCTTTAATGTTTGCAAGGTGTAATATTTCAATTCTTGATATTTAGAAGAGTTCGAATGTCTCCTTTTGAGGGATGATCTATGGAATGCATGGAGATGTTTTGAGGCTTAATCTTGTGGGCCGAATTGATTGCAATAAAAAAAGAAGAGAAATAAAAAAGAGGAAGAATCCTTTGATATTTGGGAAAATTCAGGATTGATTTAGAAGTTTCTAGTTTGTGCCTTTTGGGGATGTCTCATGGCTAGCCCGGGGGAGTGTGCTCCACCTCTTTACCTATTCGAGAAAGTCTCACTAGTCGGATGTTTTAGGCCGACTCTCCTACCGCTCTGACTTTTCTTTTCTAAAGTTGGTTTTGGAGGTGGGTTAGTCGTCTTTCTTTCTGTTTCTTGCTTTTTTTGGTTTGTTTTCTTTACTTCTTGGTTTGGGTTTTAGATACTTATGTCCAATACATAAGTGCGCATATATAGTCATCGTTATATATGAAACCATCAAGTAAGGTTGCCAGTAAGTCGGTTTTGTTTTGGGGCTTAGGGCGGTGATGACAAAGGCACACCAGTGGTAGAGCGGAATGATATTCCATCCTACGACATCAGGACCCAATCCAGGGACCCGGTGAACTGCATGATTATAATATCATTCACCGACACAAGACTAGCGGGGGACCCGTAATTTCTTAGGTTGTTAGCGGTCCTACGCCCGACGGCATGATCGACTCGTGGACAATCATAATTTTTAAAACTGATAAGAACAGACACGATAAGAATAGTTACAATATTTATAAAAGTACTTTTACTATAAAATTAGTACAACTTTTTTTTATATGTCTGAAATTCATGTGCATGCTAAAATATAAATTTTAAATGTATTGTAACTTGGTTGTCCACTTGTCGATTATCGGTATCGGGCCGAGGAGCACCCTTCTAAGTTAGGTTTAGTAGGACACCCTTCTAGTTAAGTGGTAGACTCTATACATTCAGGTGACTGATAGTAGTCTTCGACGTCCCTCGAGTATATATGTAGATTCTGAGCTTAGCCCTGACCCGAGTGCTTGCGGTTTTCTCTCTTATGGTTTTCCGTGTGATTTTATTGGAACTTTTGGTAAAACACTCGTGGTCTTTTCCGAAATCTTACCGTGTTTTCGATGATTTCATTGAGTTGTCATTTGCTGCTTTCTTCAAGTTTTTTGTCGTGGGTCATTGCCGCTGTTTCTCGAGTTTTTTAGGTGGACTTTACGTATACAATGCATGCTAGCTTGTTTCTTAAATTATGTCACTATACTTATACCTGCTACATCAACCACACTTAAAGGAGCAGCGGACCTCCTAGCTATACAGGTTTGTTTTACATTTACAACGTTTTACTTTACATCACACTTTACTGTTTTTCTCTACTGTACATTCTAATGCTTTCCTATACTGCATGTTTTACTGCTTCTATACATACTGTGCGGTCACTATTTTCCTTTGCTATACTTGCTACTGCTTCTTTTACGCACTATACCTTAGAGTAGGAGACTAGTAGTTGGTTTTATAGGAGGTACCCGACAGCAGATCGTTGACTCAAAAGTTGCATGTACACTTAAAATTAACATCAAACTCGAAGATGCTACGGCGAGGAGCTTGGAGCTAGCATTATGGGCAGCACTGCCATCTTCAACAGCAAGAAATGTCTACATCAGCTAAACCATCCCTTAGAATTAAACAACAAGCCATAGGATTTTGAGGTTGTCCGCTTAGTGCGACATAAATTCTCAATCTTATGTTTAGGCTTTTGTATAGCTCTGTTACACAATATAAGCCTTAACTCGTCTTAGGATTCCGAGGTTGTCGTTCGCCACGACCTAAATCCTCACATCTTACAGGCTATTAGTGTGATCGTTTCACACGGATGTAAGCACTAATTAAATAAAACTGATAAGATGAAACATTTAAATATTTCTCATATAAATTGAAGCCAAACCATAAGATAGCTTGGGAATTCACCGATGTTCTCCTCAGGATCCGTGTCATCCCCTAGTTCTTCTTCCTTTGGATTCCAAAATAAATGTTCTAAATTTGAGTCATTCTTCTTTCACACCTCTTTGTCCGATCTCATTTAAAAATCTCATTCCTTTGACATCTTTGAAGATAATATCCCCTGATTTTTATCGAGAGTTTTCTTAGGTGACTTCAGTTATCTAAGATGTAATTAACTGTATTATCTAAGATGTAATTAACTATAAGAGCTTGCCTTTATAGGAAACTTTCAAGAACCCAACTTAATATAAACCCTATTTAATTTTTCATATTAAATAGAAGAACTTGTCGGCTTATAAAAGAAACGGCTTTCGTAGACCAAACATATGTCTTATGTTTCTTAGTTTATTTGATTGCGTCTCACTCTTAAGTCTCGTGTTTATCTTTCAGGATAAATACATGACTTAAGGTGTAGTGTTCTTTCATTTAAACTATAAAAGATATAGAATCAGTTTGATTTCATATTTTTTTAAACTTAAATATATATATTTCATTTAATGTGTGTGTGTGTGTGTGTAAATTAAATGTATTTCCGAAGCGGACGACGTGATTTCGATTCCGGATACCGACAGCTTCTAACGGGCAACTCCTCAACTTTTTAGTGCCGACATGCGCGAACTGTGGGGCCCACCAAATCCATATTTAATTTTTTACGCAGTACGTCCATGACTACTTCGCATGTGCTGGTATCGTGGCACTGTTAAGAAATAAGTACCCGAACTGGTCTCTGGCGGCAATCAAATCTGTAATTATGATGACCACATATACGTTAGACCACAAACGGAATCCAATCACCGACGAATTCAAAGGTACTTCAGCTACTACATACAAGCAAGGAGCAGGCCATATAGACCCAGAAGCAGCCACGAATACTGGGATTATATATGAGTGAAATACTACGGCTATGTCATTACTTGTGTGAATACTATAAATCGAATATTCCGGTACAACATATTATAAAGACTAGGGTGAATTGTGCGTAGGTGAAAGCAATATAGCCGGTGCAACTTAATTTTTTTTTCGTTTAGCGTGAGTATCAAATGGAACTCATCGGAGGTTGGGTAGAGGAACGTAGCAAATGTTGGGGATGCAGGGTCAACTTATACTGTGGATGTGAAGGACCCAGAAGGGGTAAGAGTTGAGGTAACTCCACAAACATTACAATTTAACCAGATAGAGGAAGAGATGAGCTATGAGGTGAAATTTAGTTTGTAGGGGGGCTTGCCTAAGCCAGCTGCTGGTGAGGTGAAAGAAGGGCGATTGAATTGGAATTCTTGCAAGCATTATGCTAGTAGCCCAATGGTGGTTACATGCTTTTGAGATGAAACTTATGCATTGTTGTCATAAGAATATATAAGCATGTAATCAATATATAAATAAAATCATTGTTTAAAATTTTAAAATAAAAATATACAAGTTTCCATTACCATAAAAATTTGTATAGAATATGTCCTTGATTTATTAATTCACTGAAAAATATTTATTTAATATTTTAAATCTTTTCTAATATGACTATTCAATAAGTGCAAAGTAGTATTGTTTGTTGGGAACTTCAAAATTAAAAAAAAAAGAAGATAAAAATAGAAAAAAAACTGAAGTTGCTTAATTGTTTTTGCCGTCAAATTTTCTTGTTTGCAGTTATTCCAATGAGTTATTGCAATTGCTTAATTGCATTGAGTAATTATACAGTTTACTTATTTGACAAACAAGCCTATTATTGAAAAAAACAAATATAAATCTATTATTGAAAAGTTTATCACTAATCTTTGTTTGAGTTTGTCTTTAAATATTTGTCACTGCTTTTTAATGAAAGAAAAATTCTAACTGAAACTATACATAAAATATATGTTAACTTCACATATGCTCCATAAGATAAGTCGATTGTACATGGTGAGAGTAAGTGAAAGGTAACACTGCAAGATGAAATTTGAAATTCCTCGAACATACTTGAAATCCTCCACAAACAATGCCCTTTTGTAAAAATGGACTAAACAGTTGCATTCAAAACATCGAAAATTATCAAAGGACTGTCGACGTGATTGACATAATTCTAGCTCAAATCACCTATAACAAGTGTTTGCTTAATTCCAAATAGAGTTGGATGCTTAATTTTAAAAATAGATCTCTCGTTCAAATCTTCTATCAACTTAGTCGTCACCAGAGTTTTGATTTCACTGCATGATTTGAATCATGTTAACCTTCTATTTTTGCTTGAAAAAGATCAAGTTTAGGATTGATATATGATTGAATTTAAACAAAGTTCATGGATTTAAACAAAGTTCAAGAGAAGATCAAATTGGACCGGTGAGACCTGCGCCCATGCCCCATATACAACGTGATTTTCTTGAGATCGTGAATTTTTAAATTTAAATTTTGATTGTTTTCTTGATTGAATTTAAAATTTTCAAAGTAATTGGGCATTTTAATAACATTTGCACAATTCTCCTAACATAGCAATTCAATTTAAGCCCGCGCAGCATTCACGGGTATCAATTATTTATTAAAATGGTAGAAGCAGATATGGGAAAGAAGATTTTATGAAGTGCACATATCATGTGCTTATGCAGGGTATTAGCATATGTTTTGATGCGCTTTCATGATGCAATGTAGAATTGACTTCCATAGTCTTATAAAATATCAATACATTTATAATTTTAAAGTATTTTCTATGGTTAACATTTTATTATTTGCATACATCTCAGTAGGCTCGTACATTGTAGTTCATTAATCTCAGTATGCCTAGAAGCTGCATATGAACATACTTTGTGCCTCCGAAATATTCTTTGATGAAATAATCTATGTCTTCAAGTTATTTAGATTGACCAAATACACATTTTTATAGTTGTGCACTTTTAGTGACATCTACATAAATATTAGGATGTTTGCACGTTCATTAAGGCAATATGTGAAAATTGGAAATGACCTCAAGAACGAGTGAATCATAAAGCTATCTCAAATTAATAAAAAACTTGCACAAGCAAATCAACACTGAAACCCTCCCAAGATTTCAATTTGAATGCCTACGTGGTCGTCTTTATCTGCTTGTATAGTGGGTTAGTGAATTACTTGTAATATATATATATATTCTAGTTAAATTTAATCATATTGCATCTGTTACTATATAATAATAATAATGCTCGCAACAGCATTTCCCCCAAGCATAGGAAGCAAAGTATCCCATGCAAAATAAAAAATAAATAAATAAAGCTTGGTCCGTCAAAAGCCCTTTATTAGCAGTGCATCATTAGTTCTAAACATAACATGATTTAAGCATTTTTCCCTTACATTTGTTCCCTTTTTAGGATATAAATACGACTCTTTTAGACAGTGAGGCATCATCCGCCACCTCTTAGTTTCCTAAAAGTAATCATATAATTTCCAATGGGTGCCGCCATCCTTAACCTCTTCGTCTTACTCTTCCTCATCTTCTCATCCCATTCATTTCCCTCAGTCCACTCCCAACAATTCCCAATCACCAATGAAGGTGGCGGCATTGACCCCACCAAAACCCCTGTCTACATCGTGCACGTGGAGAAGCCACACGGCATCTCCAACCGTCCACTTCGCTTACGCGACCTAAAAAATTGGTACATGTCTTTTCTTCCAAATGCCACCCTCGCTTCTGGCGAATCTCGCATGGTATACACATATCGTGAAGTCATCACTGGCTTTGCCGCCCGCCAAAGCCCAAAAGAAGTCGAAGCCATGGAATCCCTTGATGGCTTCATCGAGGCTAACCCAGAAAAAGAACACTATACTTCCACAACCTACACCCCCACCTTCCTCTCACTTAATGACAAACCATCCAACACGTTATGGTATGACTCTTCCATGGGTGCCGGCCAAATCATTGGGGTCATCGATAGTGGCATCAGCCCTAATCATCCCTCCTTCAATGACAATGGGATGCCCCCTCCTCCTGTGAAGTGGAGTGGCAAATGTTATTGGGGGAATGCACGTACTTGCAACAACAAACTCCTCGGTGCCGTCGCATTTCGTAACGGAGTTTACCCGGACCCGTACGACAACGATGGCCATGGCACCCATGTTGCTAGCACAGCGGCTGGAAATTTCATCAATAATGCCAACGTGACCGGGCAGGCCGCCGGGATAGCCTCTGGCATGGCCCCACGCGCTCATCTCGCTGTTTATAAAATCTCGTTTATCAACCCATCGGGCATCTCAGTGTCTACTGATGCAGATATCTATGCTGGTATAGAACAAGCCATTCGTGACCATGTTGATATTCTTCAAATGTCGATTGGGTTTGTCAAGTATCAACTGTATAATAGTCCAATTGTTATTGGTTCATTTGCGGCTATAACAAAAGGGATTGTTCCATGTGCTTGCATGATGAACATGGGGCCAACACCGAGCATTTTAGCTAATGACGCTCCATGGATACTAATTGTTGGCGCGAGTACATTCGATAGAAAAATAATGGCTTCAGTGTTGCTTGGAAAGGGCTCGGAGTTAGCGGGTGAGTCAGCTTACCAACCTGGGACCTTTCCTTCCACTCAAATACCACTCGCATTCCCATTTGACCAGCTTTCAACGGTTAAATCCACGGGTTGTCACTTGGGTGAGCTCAAGAAGTTAAATCTACGGGACAACATTGTTATGTGCTACCGCTTTGGCTTAAAGGATGACGAGCGTGGCCGCAATGTTTTGATTTCCGGCGGCAAAGCCATGATTTTATTGAATGATATGCCAGAAGGAGAGACCACAAAAGCTTACGCGCATGTGCTCCCTTCCTCACACCTTAACAACACCGACACCAATGTCATAATCGAGTACTATAGCAACACAGCGAATCCGACTGCCGCGATAAAATTTCGTGGAACCCTATTTGGAATTAACTCTGCCCCAGCTGTCGCAACCTTCTCATCACGTGGACCAAGCTTGACCAATGGAGGGATCATAAAACCTGATGTCATTGCACCAGGAGTCAATATTCTAGCTGCGTGGCCGCGAACAGTGGGGCCAACAAAATCCATATTCAACTTCTTGAGCGGTACGTCCATGGCTACTTCACATGTGTCTGGTATCGTGGCACTGTTAAGAAATAAGTACCTGAATTGGTCACCTGCGGCAATCAAATCAGCGATTATGACGACCGCATATACATTAGATCGCAAAGGGAATCCAATCACCGACGAATACGAAGGTACTTCAGCTACCGTGTTCGAGCAAGGAGCAGGCCATATAGATCCAGAAGCAGCCACGAAACCTGGGATTATATATGAGCTAAACTACTATGACTATGTCCATTACTTATGTGGATACTGTAAATCGAATAGTCCAGTACAAATGATCATAAAGACTAAGATGAATTGTTCGCAGGTGAAAACAATAGAGCCAGAGCAACTTAATTATCCGTCCTTTAGCGTGAGTATTGGAGGGAACATAACGGAGGTGCAGGTGAAAAGAAAAGTAACAAATGTTGGGGATGCAGGGTCGACTTATACTGTGGATGTGAAGGACCCAGAAGGGGTAAGGGTTGAGGTAACTCCACAAACATTACAATTTAACCAGGTAGGGGAAGAGGTGAGCTATGAGGTGAAATTTAGTTTGAAGGGGGGCTTGCCTAAGCCAGCTGCTGGTGAGGTGAGAGAAGGGCGATTGAATTGGGATTCTGGGAAGTATTATGCTAGTAGCCCAATGGTGGTCACATTTGTTTGAGATGAAATTTATGCATCGTTGTTATAAGAATATATCTTATGTAATCAATGATTGATTAAAATCATTGTTTAAAATTTGAAAACAAAAATATACAAGTTGGAATTAGTATAAAATTTGTATGGAATATGTCTTAGATTTATTAATAAATATATATTTAATTTTTTTAAAATGTTTTTAAATATGACTGCACAATAAGTGCAAATTAGTATTGTTTGTTGGGAACTTCAAAATAATAATAATAATAATAAATAGATAAAAAAAGAAAAAGCTGAAGTTGCTTAATTGCTTGCCGTCAGTTACTGCAATTGATTAACCGCTTTGCGTAATTATGTTGTTCACTTATTTAATAAACAAGCCTATTGTTGAAAAGTTTATAATTAAAAAAAAAAAACAAATATAAATCTATTATTGAAAAGTTTATCATTAATCTTTGTTTGAATTTGTCTTTAAAGATTTGTGGCAGCTTTTAAAAGATAGAAAGGTTCTAACTAAAATTATACATAAACTATATATTTATTTCACACACTCCATAAGATAAGTCGACCATACATGACGAGAGCAAGTGAAAGATAACACTGCAAGATCAAATTTGAAATGCCTCAAACATGCTTGAAATCCTCCTCAAACAATGCCTTATATGAAAATGGACTCCAAAGTTGCATTCAAAACATCGAAAATTATCCAAGGGCTGTCGATGAGATTGACATAATTCTAGCTAATCACTTATAACAAGTGGCTGCTTCTCCGCATCCTCCCCTTGCTCCATGCCAGGCAAATTAGGACCCCCACCCACACCACCTTAATCCAAGCCTTTCCTGCTGCAACCAACAAAAAATATCACCTATGCTTTATATATTCTTGTTGACTGAAAAATAAAAAGCAGTTCATAAATTAATCTCTTTGGCAATATTTTAGCATCAAATGCAGAGCACACAGTAGAGTTTTTATCTGAAGGATAATTGAAACTATTAATCACTATCATTTTGAATCTCATAAACTGTATTATTTTCATCAATTCAACAACAAACTGAACACATTATATAACGAATAACAAATTTAAGGTTTCAGCCTTATATTTTGGATTTATGAATATTAGTTTTTCAATTGTTCTAATGTTCATGACGTTTTGAATTTATGTTGCATAAAAATTTTTCAACAAATTTAAATCATTTCATATGTAGATACTACTAATATTCCTCTAATAGAATCGTTAATCAATTTCTCCCTTATTTTGAGACATCCATTTCATCATCCTTATAACCGTTTGTGCCAATTAACAAATTAAGAGTTTTAAATTCAACATTTTATTCTACACATTTGAAACATGCATATTTATAGAACGATACACAATCAAGGAACAAAACTTACGTACATATTATTCAATTCCTATTTATTTACATATCTAACACTTAAACTATGCTTTTTTTTTTACATTGTACCACCGAAATATTTCATATCACATAGAAAATACCACCATTTTAACTTCTAAAAATAAAAATACACCTTTTCATGCATAGGGAAGGCGATATGTATGTAAAAATTCAAATTTGGGCGTTAGATATGTAAATACACAAGAATAGAGTGGTATGTGTATAAATCTTCCAAAAATAAAAAGAAAACAATAGCAGAAAACATATACCTTGAGAGGAGATTCGCCAGATTCTCTTTTAACACCGGCCACCGAGCATCCCATAATGAGTCAATGGCGTCTCACACCACGATACCATTTTTGACCTATTCTTTTCAGCATCACGTCTTCAAAACCCAGCTTTCTTAAACCATTCAATATATTCTTCTTCCTTTGGGAAGAGCATCTACATATCAGCAAAGAAGCGAGAAAACCAAAAGCTTGGGTATACAGGACCAATTATGCAGGCAGGTACTCCAAGTTTTAGAAAACGGTATGCCTCCACAATTCCACGGTATGCCTCCACAATTCCACCACAATTCCACGCTGTGGATCTGGCCAGTACTCAATGCTGAAGCAATAAATCAGGTAATTTGCATGCGTAGAAACAAGAGTAGTAATTTTTTTTGCAGTTTTAAGGTGCAATTGGAAGTTTATCAGCTCTACATTTAAGTCCAGTATCTTCTCTGCATACGGCCAAGAGAGGTTGGACGAGCTAGGGTCCTGGTTGAGCAAGAGTTTATCAGCTTGTCTTTCAAAGCAAGAGCAGAAATGAGAGACCTTCTGCGGGCCAAAGGAGAGCCTCATTGTTTAGAGTAAGCCTTTTTAATTTTTTTATTTTACGAGAATAAAATGTTACTTAGATTAAATATTTCAAAATTTGGGATGTTCATGAAGAAACAAATTATATATAGGATAAAGTAACAAAAACTATTAAACGGGTGACAAAAGTTGTACTTGGAAAATCAAAAAAAAAAAAAAATCTATAAATGATAATAGTTGGTGATGGAATAATAATGTGCAAGAAAAGATAAAATATAAGAGGTTTATCACAAAAATTGGTTTAAATATAAAAGCTTAGAGAATTGAGAAAAATATCAAATGGTCTGTAGAGAGACTAAGAGAATAATCTGTGACGCAAAAATTTTTGCTTTTATGGATACTTATAATACATTAGATACTAAGTAATACATTAGATACTAAGTAGGGTGAAAAATATATGTATAAACCAGCCAAACAAAGATAAAAGAAAAGTAAGATTTAACTAAAGTGTATTAAAGATGAAAATAAAAAAATGGTTTTCTTAGAAATAGATAGTGAGTTATTTTGATAAACTTTTTAATGAAGCTTCGAAAAATACGATTCACCTTAGTGATCGTAATATCATTAGTAATAATAAAATGTTTCATTTTTACCGTCACATTAATAAAAAAAGAAGTTGATGATGCTTTAAAGGAAATCAAGAGTGAAAAGTCTGTAGGATCTAATGATATCCCAATTGAAGTGTGGAAATATTCAAGAGATTTGAGAGTTTCTTGGCTTACTAAACTCTTTAATATTATTTTAATTAATATTATTTTAAAAACTAATTTATTTTAAAAACTAATAAGATGCCTGAGGAGTGGAGGAAGAGTATTTTTGGTCCCCATTTTTAAGAATAAAGGGGATGCACAAGAGTGTGTCAATTATAAAGAAACTAAGTTGATGTGTCATACTTTAAAGTTATGTGAGATGGTAATTGAACATAGGTTAAGACGTAATACAAAGATTTCTCATAATCAATTTGGATTTATGTCGGGCAGGTCTACAATGGAAGCTATACTTTTATTGAGAGGTTTGATGGAGAAGTTCAGAGATAATAAGGAGGATCTACATATGATTTTTATTGATTTAGAAATAACTTACGATAAGGCACCAAGAGATATCCTTTGGAAAGTTCTTGAGAATAAAGTTGTTGATATGACTTATATTTAAGTCATTAAAGATATGTATGCAAGAACTGTTACTTGTGTTCAGACAGAAGGAGGATTGACCAAATATTTTCCTATTTTTGTTAGCTTACATCAGGGATCGACTTTTAAGTCCATATCTTCTTGCTTTAGTTATGGGCTTTAGTTATGGAAGTTATGGATGGTCTTACTAGACACTTACAAGAGGATGTACCTTGGTGTATGTTTTTTGCTAATGATATCCTTTATGTGGATAAGATGAGCGAAAAAGTTCAGAAAAACACTTGAATTGTGGAGGTCTACCTTGGAGTCTAAAAGCCTTCGTTTGAGCAGAACTAAAACTGAATACATGGAAAGTAAATTTAGTAGTAGTAGCTCTAGTGACTGAAATGTAACTATGGGTGATCAAATTATTAAAAGGTGTTAGCGCTTAAGATATCTTGGGTCTATTGTTCAAAGTGATGGGGATGTTATTAGTAGAATTTAAGTTGGTCGGTTGAAGTGGAGGAATGATTCCGGTTAATGTTTGTGTGATAGAAAAATACCGCTTAGACTAAAAGTAAAATTTTATAAGACGGCGGTGAAACCTGCAATGATATATGGCGTTGAATGTTGGCCTTTAAAAGATAAAAGAGAAGCATAAATAAAACTAAGTTAAGTGTTGGCGAGATGAGAATGATTAGGTGGATGAGTGGCTTTACACTTAGAGACAAAATGCAAAATGAATATATCCGTAACAGAGCGACGGACAAAATTGGAGAGAGTCGTCTTAGATGGGTTGGTCAAATTAAACGTCGACCATCTGATGATCCGATTAGAAGAGTAGATGTTTTAGATTCGACTTATGTTAAGAAAGGCTAGCATGACTTGGGCATATTGAATAAAAAATGATCTTAATTTATTAGAATCAAATAAAAATATGACAATAAATAGGATGCAATGGAGAAAGAAGGATTCATGTAGCCGACCACACTTAGTAGGATAAAGGTTTTGTCGTACAATGTTACTTAAGATTGATATCTGCATTTTTATTCATAGAAGAATTTAAATACAAACCTCACAATTCTTATGTATCTACATATATAACATCAAATAGTCAGATTTGCATACATAATACTTAAAACTTTAATATCACATCAAAATTATCAATATCACTACATTTTAAAAAGTGAATACACCTTTCCATGTATAGATTTATGACACTAAAATTTCATAAATGTAAATATCTAACTTTAGGTGTTAGATGTGTAAATACACAGGAATTATGTATAATGTAAAAAAAAATTTTCTTTTTCTTATTATTTGATTTTTTGAATTGCCTTCATGATGAAGAATTAAGTAAACATATCAATGTTCTATGCCCTAATTACAAATTATTCTTAATTTTATGAGTTATTTAATTATTTGCCACCTCGAGGTTTATGGTTCTTCACCCCACTAAGGCAAAATATCTTTTGTTCCAAATCACACCTTTTAAACCTTTGACTATGTTAAAATTATATCAATGATTATTAATAAATGTTATGATTTTTTTTATTGGCTGAAAAATGATTACAAAATATTCAAACAAAGGTACCTTGACGTGTGTTACTTGTAAGTAGAACAATAGAGAAAATCCTTAAGAAAAACAAGGGGTGTTAGTGTTTTGTTAAATTTAATTGGCTGTGCCACATGCATTTGACTATTGGTAACAGAAAAAAAACAATCATAGAAAAAAAAAATGTGGCAGAAATGAGAATTTAAAGAAAAAATGCACATCAAAAATTGCAAAAGATACCATAAGAAATGACAATATTAAAGAAACAATAGGAGCACCGTCTACTTAGAGGATAATGTAGTACGAAATAATACAAATTGGGCACCAAACAATTCTCTAATAATGTGGAAAGACATATTTAAAGTAAAAAAAAAATTTTAAAAAAAGGTATACAAATGGTAACCATATCGAAAATATAAATATAAATATTTAAAATTAAAATAATGTAACATGTTGCACTCAACAAGAATGAATGGAGGAATTGCAAAGTAGACATCTAACAGTTGAATTAAAGCTAATCATAATAACTATATCAAAAAGTAACCCAAAGAACTAAACATGAACATAATTCTTTTGTAGCTCATGTGCAACAAAAAATATTGAAAATCTCAGTAGTAAAAATCTTCTAATCTTCAATGAAAAAAAAAAAAAAGAGTTGAATGATAGACCTTCATCAAAATACAAGCCATCAAACAAATTTTCAATAACTTCATTATAAAAGATTAGATTTATGCCTGTTTTCCGACCCTCCATTACCGAATGCTAATCATGTATGTTCATGTGACCAAACGAATATATCTCATGAAAAAATGCTATTAATCAGAACAACAGAGAAAAGAACCATCCATAAACCAGAAGTATAAATCTCACCTTCCAGCAGAAACATATCGATCAACAGAGTCCGTCGGGAATGGCAAGTCCTCTTCATCGCCTTCAATGATGGTGCACTCTTTCAAAGCTTCCTTTTGCCTAGCCTTAGCAAGCTGGTGTGGCGACTGTTCAAGAATGGTGACATTGTTTGGATTTATATGCTTAATAATTCCCAGTGTAGTAAATCCAGTTCCTCCTCCAACATCCACAACCTTCATCCTGGAATCATTGAGATCTGCAGGCTCAAGGGCCTCGTCCCTCGTGTCTTCAGTCCAATGCGCAGGGTTCATGACGTGGTCATAGACTATGGAGAGAAACCTATAAAACCAAAATGCCTCTTTTTTATGCTGTATAAACCTAGGTTGGAAGGATGGTCGGGAAGAGGAGACGCCGCATCTGGGTGAAGAAATGTTCCCCCTTCTCCTTCCATCGAAAGAATTGAAGAAGCAACAAAACCTAATCTTTTTGGGGATTTCGTTTGGAGGAATGAGAAGTTCTCAGCCCCACTGGGCTGGTAAGAAGCCATAACATAATGGAGAATTGAAGGAACCAAAATAAAAAATGAAATAAAAAAAAAACTCAAACTTTCGTCCTCGAGCAACCCCGAAGCCCTGTTTTCACCACAAAGCGCTGGTTTCCTGTGAATCACACGGGGGGAAAAGCAAAACGAAAGTACAAAATCAGTTTTTTTTTTGGTCAGACATTTGAACACAAGTGGATGAAATGGTGGGGATCCTACGCCAAAACTTGTTTTTTTTTTAAAAAAAGAAATAAATTGCAATAGCTCTGTGCCGCTTTACGGGGTAGCAAGATGGCCACTACCATTTGAAATATAGTTCAAGCCTCTACTTAAATGCTCATAACCGTATGAAAAAGATCAGCCGAAAAGTTACCTAAGACGTGCGCAAGTACGTCCAGGAATTATTCAGGGGGTACATGGGGTTATATCGGGGTTATACCCCGCTGTAACCTCATGTAATCTCTTTGTAAACTACCTGTGACCTACAAATGAGTTTCGTGCTTCTGTAATTTCATAGGTACAAATAAGTTACACGGAGATTACAAGGGAGTTACACGGAGGTTACAGAGTGTATAACCCGGATATAACCCCCCTGTACCCCCTGAATAACCCCTAATGTACGCAACGCTGCGTACGTCTTATGTACGCAAATATTTTCCCATTTACAGACACAGTCCCGCAGGCAAACTGGGACGAAGATGGTTAGTGGATGGACGGAGAAGTAAGGCAAGCTAACCAATACATTCTTTCGGTATTTTTCTGGATTTGAAAATTTTATGGTATATATTTTTTGTTTTATTTTTTTTTTTGGGCTTGTTAGATATATGATGATACTTTAAACCTAATGGGTGCTATGAATACTAATGTCAGCTATTTTTTTTAACTCATATTTTTGCTTCGTATTTTCAAATTCCACATTTTTTTGTTTATTTCATTTCCTTATTTGACTGAAGTGTTCTCCCTTGAATAATTATTAGAAGATGAACTACAGATTCTCGGGGAACTCAGGGCGAGTGTTATGTTGCAGCGGACAACCGTCTTTGTTACTCACGTCGCGCAAGCCATATAGCTATGGGCAATAATTTTACAGGTACCAGCGGTGGGCAGACAGACCAGACGACTGTAAGTTCTTCATTTAGGTAGACAGCCCGCCCGATTCTATAGTATCCTAACTGAACAACGTTGTTCAGGGTTTGACAGTATCAACCGGAGAACGTCGCTTGTGGTTCAATGGTTTCCCAACCAGGCAATGTTGCTCAGGGTTCGATGGTGTCCCAACCAAACAACGTTGCTCATAACTTGCTTTTTTTATTTTAGAATGAATATGATCATCTTTTTAAAAATTGTAATTTCAATATGTTTTTTTCTTTTTATTAGGTATCTTGATACTCACTTTTAAGTGAGGTTTCTATCATAATTTTGTACTGTTATGAAGTGATTTTTTTTCACAACTGTCAAATGTGTAGTTGTTACAGTTTTGGTGTAAACAACAACACTGTGCAGTAGTTGAATGATCATTTATCCACAAAAGCTACAAATCAGTTGTTTTTCAAACGCAAAAAAAATATAGCGGAACACCTTATCCAGATAAGGGGCATAATAGTCATTTATCCAAAAACAACTGCAAATCAGCTGTATTTTAAACGCACAAACCAAACAGCTAACCAGCTTATTAGGATACGCTGTTGATCAACAGCTTATCAAAATATGTCGTTTATCTGGATAAGCTGGATAAGCTGCAGCTGCCCCAAAGAGATCCTAAATAACATTTAATTTGGATATTTATTTACATATTTAGGAGATGAGTGATTTAATGAAAAAATACAGTGTAAAAGTAATGCATTGAAATACTTTAAAATTATTTGATTTAGTGAAAAATAAATAAATGAATTTATTTTTCTTATTTAAAATTTCAAGTAAAATAAAATAGTATACAAATATGAGGTTGATAACCGACTTGCAGATAGTGGTAGAGCTAGTAGAGATAATGACGAGTTATGGGGGTGAGCGGTCATTGGCAGGCAAGAGGCGATTAGTAATTGATGACTCAAGATCTCTTACCTCCAACATTTTATGATGAAATATGATGTTGAAGCTTCTCAGGCTCTCCAAGGCTCCTAACGAATTCTTAAGAAGGCTTGAGAATTCTTTTGTGACTTTTGTGCACTAGTGAATGTGAAAAAGATGTGCTTGAACTCCCCATAAATAGTGATAGCTCCTTTGGATAAATTGTTGAAATAACGAAGAGCCAATTATTTCAAAGTCAAAAAAAATATCTTACATAGTATAGCATCATTAAACCTTAGTAGACTCATCTTCGACTTAAATGACGGTATGTAGTTGGCAAGATACAATCTTCCTTATAGAATTTCAATGACAGAATCATAAATATTTTCGGTACTTCAACTTCCACGATCTTCATTGGAAAAGCCATCTCCAACTCTCTTCCTTTTTTTCCATTTTCTTTTCCTCTCCCTACCTAAAGGAGTAGACCGTTCCTCATCAAAATAAAAGTCACGTCATTTTCTCCACGGGGGTCGACGATATAGCCCTCATTGGCCTAGTTTTTGGTAACATATCTCTATGAATTATTGATCCAAATAACTCAGATGGCATCTGGGCTCTAAGTTCAACTCTAGACAACATTTGCTCTTTCAACTCATTAATTTGTTAGACTACAAACTCACAAGTGCACTTTACGTTAATTGAAACTTCTCATGCTTGCGTTTCTTTTATGGCGAAACTTCACTTCTTATCTATGGCTTTCACTCTTTCGATGATGTTGAATCTAAAAATTTTCATGGTCTTACACCACTGAAGCAGGGCTTGCAAGAAAGAGGAAGAGCAGAAGGTGATCTATTGGTCAGGTTAACAGAGAAAAATAGTGTCAGTCATTCTTTTTCACCTGGGAGGAGAACCCCTTACTTATAGGTCCCCCCTATAGTTATGCCCAAGGACAACTACATAAATGATCATATGAAAATAAGGACCATGACAACTTAGATCATCATGAGATATGATACTGCCTCTATAAGCAATTTAATAAATTTACATTTTTCTTGTCGAGATAGTGTGAGTTAAGACCTTTGCTTAATTAGGTGAATTAAAGGAGATTGCAATATATGACAATGATCATTACATTGAGTTTATTAATAATAATCATGACCACCAAGAAACTCTACGGTATTAAGTGCGGTGAGAGAAACTTATTAATTTCTCCACCGTTAACCTTTGAAATCTAAGGCTTGATACTCTTTCATTTCTATTAAGTTATTATCAAGATCACATGTGAGGTAATAAGTGTTGGGTAACATGGAGATCCGGTCTACCGAAATTTAATTAGCTTCCTAATTAAGAATCTCACCTACTTTCTCACATACCGCTCACCTATCATATCTCACATACTGTTCACCTACCTCGCACCTACCGCTCTCATATTTTCTATAAATAGCCTCTTTTGGCTTAAAGGAGAAGTCAGGCCAAGTCAAGCAAAGTCAAGCAAGGCCAAGCCAAGTCCTTTGAGAGCTAAGAGAAAGAGAGGAAGAGAGAGAGAGAGAGAGAGAGAGAGAGAGAAAGGGAGATAAGAAAATAGAGATTTTCTTATAAACGACGAGGCGCTCGACGGTGTAATTCTTCGAAGAAATAAAATCCTCTGCAGCTCCGTGAACGTAGGCAAATTTGTCGAACCACGTAAATTTGTGTGTTGGTCTGGTTTTTTTCTGCGTTCAATTTTACTCGTTCCATTTTTTTCTTTATTATCGTCGTTTTTCACAACAACTGGTATCAAAGCTTGGATTCGAATCTAAAGGAGAACGATGGGCGAAGACGAAGTGATGAGATCGGTGATTGAAAAGTTCAATGGTATAGATTTTGCTTACTAGAGGATGTAGATAGAGGACTACCTCTATGGGAAGAAACTTCATCTTCCGTTACTGGGAAAGCGACCAGAATAGATGGATGAGGCGGAATGAAATTGTTGGATCGACAGGTTCTGGGGGTTATACAGTTAACCTCGAGATCGATTGCCCACAACGTCATCAAGGAGAGGACTGCTGCAGATCTCATGGCGACTTTATCAGATATGTATGAAAAGCCATCGACGACCATCGACGAATAACAAGATCGACGAATAACAAGGTGCATCTGATGAAAAATTTATTCAACTTGAAGATGGTGGAAGGTGTGTCTGTTGCTCAACACCTAAATGATTTCAACACTATCACAAATCAGTTGTCGTCTATTAAAATTGATTTTGGTGATGAGATACGTGCACTGATATTGTTTGCTTCATTGTCAAATAGTTGAGAAACCATAAGGATGGTAGTTAGTAGTTATGCAGGTAAATTTAAGCTGAAATATGAATTCGTGATTTTATTTTGGCTGAGGAGGTGCGCAGGAAGGATTCTGGCGAGGCCTCGTGTTCAAGTTCAGTGTTGAATGTTGATTCCAGAGGGAGATCACATGACAGGAACTCAAATAGAGGAAGATCAAAATCAAAGTATGGTCAGCAGACAACCTGCTGGAATTGTAGCAAGGCTGACCACATAAAAAGGAACTGCAGAAATTATAAGAAGAAGGAGAATGATGACGCTAATGTTGTAACTGAAAAAATACAGGATGCTCTATTTCTGACAGTTCACAGTTTTGTTGATGACTGGATACTGGATTCAGGGGCTTCCTTCCATACATCTTCCCATCGGGAGTTAATGCAAAATTATGTTGCAAGTAACCTTGGGAAGGTATATTTGGCCGATGGAAAAGCTCTGGACGTGGTGGGGATGAGAGACGTTGATATTACACTCCCTAACAAAACAAACGGACTTTGCAAATGGTTAGACACGTTCATGAGTTGAAGAAAAACGCCATCTCTGTTGGGCAGCTCAATAATGGTGGTCATTCGGTAGTGTTCTCAGATTGTTCTCAGCTCAGATAGCACCTGGAAGATTACCAAAGGAGCATTAGTACTGGCTCTGGGTAAAAAAACTGACACACTATATATGACTACAAGTTTATTCAGGCGATGACACATGAGTCATAGATGCATTATGGGGAAACAGAAGAAGGTCAATTTCTTGAAAAGTGATAGAGTGCCAAAGACAGGAAAATCGGACATTGTACAAAAAAATGGAGGAGAACCACAAAGTTATGAAGAAATATTATAAGATAATAATTCGAGCAAGTGAGAGCAGACCAAGAAAAAGGAGACATATTCCTTGTCAAAGAATCAAACTTGGGAGCTGACAGAACTTCCACCAAGGAAGAATGCATTGCACAACAAGTGGGTGTACCAGGTGAAGACTGTGTTTAATGGTAGTAAGAGGTACAAGGCTAGACTTGTTGAAAAAGGCTTTCAGTAGGGGCAGGGTATTGCTCATGCAGTGGGAGTTATAAGCAGATACAAGAGTAACCCAGGAAAGAGCTTGGTGGTACATCGCTACGTTGAATACAAGGCTAGACTTGTTGAAAAAGGCTTTCAGTAGGGGCAGGGTATTGCTCATGCAGTGGGAGTTATAAGCAGATACAAGAGTAACCCAGGAAAGAGCTTGGTGGTACATCGCTACGTTGAAGGTGATATGTCATCTGAGGGTGTTACTCGTGAGAAGTTGAAGTTGTGCTCAACTTCAACTAGTCTTCTGGCATGAAGACTGGGGCTTCGAGTTGCAGAGGTGGAGGATATCATGTTTGAAGAAAATGTCAGTACAACTAGTATATGATGCAACCAGTAGGTGATGCAGTCGATGTCCCAATCTCCAAGTGGGAAAATTCTTTGGTAATGTGAATATTACTGTTATTTTGACCCCCAATTATTGAACTAAAGTAAAATGACCCTACCGCTCACATACTTTCCCACCTACCACATCACACCTACCGCTCAACCGCACGCTCTCCTACCACATCACGCCTACCGCTCACCTATCGCTCTCATGTTTTCTATAAATAGCCTCTTTTGGCTTAAAGGAGAAGTCAGGCCAAGCCAAGTAAAGCAAAGCAAGGCCAAACCAAGTCCTCTTGAGAGTTAAGAGAAAGAGAGGAAGAGAGAGAGAGGAAGGGAGAGAAAAAAATAAAGATTTTCTCGTAAACGTTGAGAAGAAATAAAATCTTCTGCAGCTCCGTGGACGTAGACAAAGTTGTCGAACCACGTAAATCTGTGTGTCGTTCTGGTGTCTTTCTGCGTGTAATTTTACTTGTTCCATTTTTCGTTTTATTGCCGTCGTTTTTTACAACAATAAGAGATCAGGATGCATTAAATTTTACAATCTAAAATTTGATGATAATAGGCATGTCATCTTATTGTGAGCTCCATGTATATGTAAATCGTGGTAGTATGACAGTTGGAATCAGTCACCATTTACACCATCTGTGAGAAAGTCATTGTGCTGAGAGAGCTTGGGGAAGAACAAATTGTTCCTAGCAGAGGTATCATGAAGATGCTTATTCGTTCTTATAAGAGTTCACATGAGGTCGCCCCAGCTTCCCATAAGGTTATTACCTTTACTACACCTTGATCCTCATGCATTTTATTAGAATAAACACAAAAATTGAGGGGCGATGTGGCCTCCGTGGTGCAGATATTTGAGCATATGAAGCACTCATGAGGGGGTGACGTTGCTTCCTTGGGGCAGAGATTTTAACATTTGAAGCACTCTTGGGATAGGAGATTCAACCATATGGAGCGGCAAAACACAACAACATTCCTGATAGCACGAGCATAGTGCAGCAATAGCGCGAATGTTGTCTCAACACATGGGGAGCCAACAAGGTGCACATTCCAGAGTCGCTGGCCAATCAATTTTATTTAGGACAACACCTAATGGAGCTACAAGGAGCGAGGATGATGATGATGATGACGACAATGACGTCTCATCTTACTTCTGAAGTGAGTTTTGTGTTTTTTTACTTTATTTTCTTATTATTTATTATTTGGGGTAGATATTTAAGCATTTCAAGCACTCATGAGGGGTGATGCAGCTATCTTGCGACAGAGATTTGAACATTTGAAGCATTCGTGGGTTAGGAGATACAAGCAAAGGGAGCAATACCACTCAAAACAGAACTTCTAGTAGCGTAAGCATATTGTTGTATTGGCATAGATGTTTTCTTAGCACTTGGGAGGCAACCAGGCTCACTTTTCGAAGTTGTTGGCCTATCAGTTTTATTTAGGACTGGACCCAATGGAGCTATGATGGACGACGATGATGATGACGACATATTGTCTGCCTTATGAGGTGAGTTTTATGTTTTGTTAATTTTATTTTCTTAGAATCTATTATTTGAGGCAGATATTTAAGCATTTGAAGCACTCATGAGGGGAGTGTGGTTTCCATGGGGCAGGGATTTGCTCATTTGAAGCACTCATGGAGTATGAGATACAATCATATGAGCAACAACACACATAATAGTATTCCTAGTAGCAAGCATAATTCTGCAAAGGCACAGACGATTTCTTAGCAATTGGGAGCCAACAAGATGCATTTTTCAGAGCTGCTGGCCTATGAATTATATTTAGGATGGGTGATGATGATGGTGATGACGTATTTCTTGAATTCTGAGGAGAGTTTTATGTTTTGTTAATTTTATTTTTTTAGTATTTATTATTTGGGGCAGACATTTGAGCATTTGAAGCACTCATGTGGGGGCAAAGTGGCTTCCTTGGGGTAGATAAACATTTCAAGCACTCCAAGGGTAGGAGATACAAACATACAGCGTGACATCACAGACAACAATACTCCTGGTAGCATGGGCATAATGTTGTAATGGCACAGGCATTTTATCAGCACTTGGGAGTCAACCAGATGCACTTTCTAAACCTTTGGCCTATCAGTTTTATTTAGGATTGGACCCACTTGAGCTATGAGGGGCGATGATGATGCCAGATGCACTTACTAATTATTTGATTAAATTGATTTTGTGGGTGGGGGTTAACCTTCTCCCTTCAAGTAAGATAACAGCCGAACTTTTAGTGACTAGGAGCTAAAAAGTTTATATTTACTTGAGGATAATAATAATTACGGTTTGAGGGTGTAAACTTAAGTGGAATTAACAGTTTAAAATATGTGAGATTTGTATTGAGTAAATGAGAATTAACTAACTCACTAAATTAATTTTATTTTTTTAATTTAAATTTTCTAAATTAATACTAACACATTGACTAAAATTGAATTAAATTCAAGAAACAACTAAATAAGGAGATGCTTAAGACCTAGCTCAATAAAGAATTAGTAATTTCTCTATTTCTTTTATCCAATGAGGTTAGGGAATTTATCATTTGAAAATTATTAAAGTGCTATACTTAGATTAAGAATATTTAAATTGAGCCTATAGAAATGATTAAATATGAAAATTTCACACAAACATATCACTTAAATATAATTTAGTCAATTTCACAAAGCACATTTTAGTGTTTTATATTGAATAAAATACCAAGAACAGTGAAAATTTAGGATATTATTAGTCAATTGAAATTCAGATACTTTTACAACAAATTTCATCACAATTTCGGGATCAATTCACCTTGAGGGGAGGTAACTAGGCAAGAACTGGTTTGCCAATCACACAAAAAAGAAAATGCAAGAAGTAAACAATCCTCACTTATTTTAATTGAATTTAATTAATTTGTTTTTGTATGTATGATGCATGTATATAAAACTAAAATGTAACAAACATAATCATATGAAAGGCACATAAAAAAAAACATTAATGTATTACAATAAGTTATAAACATAAAATTTAAATAATATGTCAAGCAAACTGAAACAACTAACTTATTTATCACTATTGATGTGCCATGAACAAATTTCATCATTCGACAAGAATCTCAAGATGTTTGACATGAATTTCGAGTTGTTTTTGGGAAAATTTTCAAAATTAAATTAAAAACCATCCATAACTTTAATTTTGGAAAATTTATAATCAAACTAACTAGCTCGAAGAGACAGACCCAATGACACCAAAACTAGTACGATCTGAGTAGAATCATGCTCGAATAAAACCATTAAGCTATTTTTGGAAGTTTAGGGTGGTCACATGGAGGGCCAATTGGATTCCAAATCTACAAATTCATAGTCTAATCAAACATCTCGATGAGATGAAGCCAACGAGCCTAATATAATTTAATTCTAATATTATTAAGGCCCCGTTTGGGACAGCTTAAATGTGCGGCGGCGTTTTTGAAAACGCCGCCGCAGCGTTTGGAAATCACGTTTCCCATGCGTTTTTTAGAACGGCTTTTTGAATTTGTGTTAAACGCGGATCGCGGGTATATCCCCGCGATCCGCGTTTTAGCTCCACATTTTACCTTCGGCTACCCTCAACCCCGCAGCCGCCCTTGCATTCGGTCCTCCACGGGTATATCGCAAGCTCGATCTCGCCTCCGTCGCTCCTCCACAGGTAACAAAACAATCGCGTTCTTTCCCCTATTTCGCCGAGAGATCTGAGATTGGGAAGAAATTTCAGTAGATCCAGTTTCACAACACTCGCAATCTTGCCTCCCTTCCGGATTCTGGTTTTTCTTGCTCGTTCTCTCGGTTATGTTGGTCGATTTCGCGGTGTTCTTGGTCGATCTTAGATTTTGTGGGTTGCTTGATACTCTTGCTGATTTGCTCGACATTCCTGTTGGTTGCTCGACAGCTTGCCTTTTGTTTAAAAAAAATTTCTGCTCGGGTTTGCTCGTTATTCTTCTCTTATGCTCAAAGATGTTGCTTCGTTGCACTCCTTCTTTATGGTTTGTTTACACTTTAGCTTTGCTTGATGTTAGAAAGTGGTGAGCACAGTGTAGGTTGGAGGTAATGCAACTGCTAATCTATTGCAGAAATCTTGAGGTTGCTCTTTTTTAGTTGAAAGAATTGTTTTATGATCTTTTGATCAGTTAGGATTGGTAAATCCTACTTGTTTCTTGTCGTGCGAAGTGCTGAGTTAGCTAAACCTAGATCTACTGTGATAAAAATATAGTCCCGCTGTTTCTGTGATATGTTTGAAGCAGCAAGGCAGTACCCTTCTTCATTCTTCCTCCAACCCTCTCTTCGAGCAGTGCATATTCACAGCATACGGTTTGTTTTTACCGTTTTATGTTCATACGGACTCCATGCTATACAAAGTTAGTGATTCTTTTGGGTTATTTGTTGAGGATTGATGATATTGATGCAATGTTTTCTCCCTGTCATTTCATTCTTTGAGGGTATTTGTTCAGGGTGGTTTTAAAGAAAGCTCTAGATGCATTGGAATATGTTGTTCATATCCGGTACTATGCATGCCTTCATGGTCTTCAATTTACTGAATTGATTTCTCTTATCATACTTAGATCGAGATTAGTTGTACTTAAGCATGAGGCGATGATGGAGTTCACAACATGCAACCATGAAAAGGCTGTAGATTGATATACAAATACAGCAAGGAAAAAAAATAACATTTTGGATCTCAATTGGATGGTTCTATGAGAATGAAATCCATTTCCATCCTTGCAATCTTTTTTTCTTGAAAATTTAATTTATTTTTCTTACATATTAGCTGCCAATTATCATTACTTCAATCGAAGTAGCGAGCAATGTGTTGTTCATAGCCGGTAATATCTACTAATTTGGTATTTCATTGTTGGTAAATGTATTTGGTATTTGATTCTTGGTAAATGTATTACATGCTAATTTTGAGTATCTCTGACGTAAGGCTAATTTATCTCTATTGATGCCACAATAGAAGCATGCAAGTAGAAGGTAGACAGTGATGCAAAATTAACCTTATGTTGAATATTGATTTGTATTTTAGAATTATAGCTTCCACGTTATGTTTATGCAAATACTTTGCACTGGTTGCATGAATATTCTATTACCATGTTTACTACAGTGGAGGTGTTACTATTATGTAACTCAGTTTGTTTGGCTTCGCTGACACCCCTGTATTTAAATTTGCTCTGGTTAAATGATATGACAGTAACAGATGAGTAAATCTAAAGACTCTGGTTCATCCGCTATGTGGGATAGAGAGGCTACGAATATTTTTTGTAACCTATGCGTGAGGGAAGTCGAATTGGGAAATCGGCCCACAACTTTTTTTAATAAAGAAGGTTGGCATAATATCACTAGTAAATTCAAAGAAATAACAGGAAGAGATTATGATAGGATGAAACTAAAGAACAAATGGGATCAATTAAAGAAGAAGTGGAAGCTTTGGAAGGAGCTTAAAAGGGGATCAACTGGATTGGGATGGGATCCGGTCAAACGGACAATTGATGCACCTGAGGAATGGTGGGCAGAAAAATTAGCGGTATGAACATCACTATTTCAATTAAATTTTACAGACATATGTTTGGAATTTTGATTTAGATTGTTCTTTTTTATTTTCAGGTTGTGCCCGTGGCAAAAAAATTCAAATTTAATGGAATTGAACCAGCCTTGGAGGAGAAATTGGATGGCATGTTTACTGGTGTTGTAGCAACAGGAACTCATTTTTCCACCCCTAATGAGCAGGGTGTTGCAAACCTAGCTGAGGATATAGAGACCGAGCATATAGGTGATTCAGGAGAAGGTCCCAGCCAAACCCACACGGATATCCAATCCACTGGCGGAACAAAGCGCCCCCGTCCTGTAAAAAATAAAAAAGGCATTGCATTTGTTAAAGGTTCTATTGAGACATTGCTTGAAATTTCAAAAAATACTTCAAAAACTTCGAAGGACAGCACAATCCATGAGTGTGTTAAAATCCTTAACACATATCCTGGCATTAAGGAAGACCAAGATATGTATGTTAAGTACGTGAAGTTGCTTGGGAACTCTACCCGGAGGCAGTTCTTTGAGACTTTAGACCCAGAATTTCGCCTTCCTTGGTCGATCTTAGATTTTGTGG